TCTACACCCACACCACCACTACTACCTACACCACAACAACCGCTTCTGTCATCATCACCACCATCAACAGTATCTACACCCACACCACCACTACTTCCTACACCACTACAACAACTACCACAGCAACACCACCAACCACCACAACATCAGCCACCACCAGCACAACGCCATCGGAGACTATCACCGCTACTACCTACACCACCACAGCAACACCCACAAGGGCTGCTATCACCATCAACAGTATCTACACCCACACCACCTCTATTACCTACACCACAACAACAACCACTCCCATCACCACGACCACCACAGCTTCCAGCACTGTCTTCGCAAGTTAAGTATCCTGATGAAGGCATCGAAACAAAGCAACAAACCCTTGCTTTTAACAATGACTTTTCAAAGAACGTGAGCTTGTTTCAGTTTGACAGCATTCCATTCCTTGAACACACAGTCAGTCACGAGGGATGGCACGTGACTAGTGGTAACCACGGCAATGATTCTGGACATGACGTCATAATGGATCAAGCTGATAGAATCTGTTCGTCTAATCAGACTAAATCGACTCAAAAAGACAACAAAACTGTCAAAGAAGATATTCGTAACGATGATAAATATCATAAACATCTACATACTTTAGTTCCATGTACAAATAGCAGCAAAAATGCTTTAGGTGACAAGTCAGRGGAAACTAAAGATAACCCAATGAAGACATCGTCTCACCAAGTATCGTACAGCATAACAGACAATGAACCTTCTACGACCAAGAACATGAAGAAAGACGATCAACCGTGCACTCTACAACTGCCATCACGTGACCATGGATTGCCGTCATCACGTGATTTAAGTCCCAGGTCCTTGGGTGTGTATACTAAACATAAGGAGACTCTGAAATGGAAGTCAAGTTCAACAGGAAATGAACGTGAGAATGTTAAAAAGAGAAAGTTAGATTTTGGGAATGAGCAGGACAACCAGCAAGATATTCTTGATCAAGACTCGTCTAGAAGTTTATCTGATGAGTGTGTTGATGTTGTATTAAGTGAAGAGCAAGTCAAGGACAGTGAACGTAGATGGACGAGTGGTTTACAGGTCATCGAGCTTTTGTTGATTGAACAGAAGTTCCAGGAAATTGAAGAGAAAATAGAAATTCTAGATAAACAAAATGCATTTGAGATCCTCGACGTCGATTCAATAACTGAAATAGATGAATATGGGGAAACGGTGAAAGAATTGACAGATAACGATGATGGTGTTAGTGTTGGTAGCACAAAAACAGATGGTGCGCTTGCTAATCAATCACTAGAACAGAAAGCAGTACACGCTGCAGAGGGGAGTCTCACCAATACCAATATAACGCATGATGGTGTTGGTGTTGGTGTTGGTAGCACAAAAACAGATGGTGCGCTTGCTAGTCAATCACTAGAACAGAAAGCAGTACACGCTGCAGAGGGGAGTCTCACCAATACCAATGTAACGCATGAGTATAATATGAAAGATAAAATCCAGTGTAGTAAAGATGAGGATTTAGACATGAAGCCTGAGGAAGCCATATTTATACAAACAGCTGCAAAGAACACGTCAGAATTGCCTACATCTGTATATTGCACCCAACAGCTACAGACCAGTACCATGTCCATGTCCAGTCAGCAAAAAGACCTCATCAACAGTACCATGTCCGGTCAGCATCATACCAGTACCATGTCCAGTCAGCAAAAAGACCTCATCAACAGTACCATGTCCAGTCAGCATCATACCAGTACCATGTGCAGTCAGCATCATACCAGTACCATATCCAGTCAGCATCATACCAGTACCATGTCCAGTCAGCAAAAAGACCTTATCAACAGTACCATGTCTAGTCAGCATCATACCAGTACCATGTCCGGTCAGCATCATACCAGTACCATGTCCAGTCATCAAAAAGACCTCATCAACAGTACCATGTGCAGTCAGCATCATACCAGTACCATATCCAGTCAGCAAAAAGACCTCATCAACAGTACCATGTCCAGTCAGTATCATACCAGTACCATATCCAGTCAGCAAAAAGACCTCACCAACAGTACCATGTCCAGTCAGCATCATACCAGTACCATGTCCAGTCAGGAACTTACCAACAGTACCTCTCCCTTCCTGGATGAAAAGGAAAACAAAACCAAGACTTCAGATGCACCAGAAAGTGAGATGAAGTTTAAAGGAACATCCAAGCCTGTGTTGTTTGACTCACACAAACGAAGTATCTCATATCTATATAGCGGGTCGTCACACCTACTGTACAACCCTCCACCACTCAAAACACCACGCTTAGTCAACGCCAATCCATGCATCACTCCAAGATATCATCCAGGTGTTCTTCCTCCCAGGATCATTAAYACTCCCCTGCTACCCCTCCCTAATGAAAGATTTTGCCGTCTACCGTCTCTGCCTTCTAATGGTCCATGGTGCATGCCTTTTTATAGACAACCGCTGCCTTTCTTTCCAAACGGTTTTCCTTGCAGACCTCCATTCGTGCCTAGACCTAACGTAGCTCATTATATGTGCTATGCAGACATTAAGAATAGAGTTTTATAAATTTGCATTCATTTATTCATTTATTTTTCTCGTTTTTACTAATTTTCGCCAGCGATAAATTATCAGGAAATTAAACTTCCGCGAAAAAAGAATACTGCGAAGATAAATGACGCGAAATGTAGTACTGTAGTGTTGATGATATAGTGATTTTAAAACCCATTAACAGATACAGGGTGACAGAAAGCAGTTATGGAGTAGTCAACTATCGCAAAATTTAAGTTTCCACAAAATGTACTGCTCTTATTTTGTGAAATTAATTGACCGCGAAAATTAGTAACAACGGGGTATGTTATGTTTTATGAATTGTTATGGTTTTATCAGCCAGCACGGGGTTGAGGAGAAAACTGAAACGATGGCATTGTGGAACTGTCTTGAGGGACAAAATGGATCCCATCTTGGTAATAAGTCCCCTGGAATAGTCCCATAATGCACTGCAGTGTCAACTCGACCCAGTTTTCCCCTAAACCTCGGCATGGCTGTACATTGGCTAATAGTTTATTGGTCTGAGCGCATTGTTTAGTTGCGTCCCTAACCATGAGTGACTTCTGTATGGATATTTTACGGTTCATTGAAATCACTCTATCGCATTTCAAGGTTAGGCATTTTTTATCAAACTTGATAAGTATTGATACTGAATAATAATAAACTTTTTAAAACATTCAATGGGCCTTAATATATTTAATGTTTTTTTTTCTTCAATTTCAATGTAATTACAACTGGAATTTCCGACGATCTAACTAGCCAAGCATGTAGAGGTTATGCGAAGAGTTTGTTTAGGAAGCCTTGTGTACTATAAATGGTATGCGGAACAAACCTATGTGTGTACACAACTCGTGATGACCTTCCTTGTCTAAAAAATTTATAGGAGTGGGGAGTACCAGGCACACAGGTCATACTTTCAAAAATACTCTAGAGATTATTACATTTGTGTTCAAGTACCTCCTGAGACATCAGCCGACAAACAACGCCAAAAAGGGGATTTCAAGCGACTCATTTTTTACGCCTCAATTATTCTATTGTCTTGATCAGCATAACAGTTCTGTTTATGGCTTTTTGTATTGATTTCTAGGAATACGGTGGCCAAATTTATGACGGAGTTCTTGGTAAACCGAAAGTGGCACACCTAAGTTGATCCCGCCTGATTCGTCTAGATAATTGTATCTTTTAAACCTTCTAAGTTCCTCGTTTTTTTTTTAGATTTTTTAAATACCATTCTAGAGATATGGTTTCATAAAGAAATAAAAATTCCAATTAATTTTTTCTTTTTCCTTTAGCATTATGGTATCGAAAACCTTTGTTTGGTTTGAAAGCGAAAAAGAAAGCTGCGGCAAGTATCGAGGTACTAATTCGAAAGCTCAGGAAAGGAAGCCACTTTATTAGCTACAGTACGCTTTCGTTTTGGTAGCTGAATCGATGAATAAACACATGGATTTAAATCGCTTTAGTTTGGTCAAAAACTGATTCGATTTTAAAATAATAATTGTGATAATTCAATAATCAAGAAACAATTAGGTATTGCTAGCATTACTTATTATTTCTAATGTGTGATGTTTGATTATCGTGAGTGTGTCCTTCCTGAATGTCGGGTTTGATCATTGTACTATAAGATACTGAAAGTTAAACACTCGTAGAAACTGTCAGCTTATATTTCGATTTTTGAAAAAAGAGTTTTAGGAGTGTGTGACTCGAGTAGTTCACTTTCGCTGTTAATGTTCTTCCTGTTAATTCTTTGAAGACTTAACTTTGTTTTGCTTGATATTCGATTTAAAATTCTTATTCAGGATATCTGGAATATAATTTCAAAATGCTTAGTTGATTTATAATATCAAAATATAGAGTTTAAGTTAATATTCTTCATATGGTTTCCAACTTCCGGTTCTGTCACGCAACAGTGCATGACATGCATGGCATTACTTTCGATTCCCAGAAACGAAAGGGGAATCCCCGAACAATAGTTCCAAGAAAGCGAATGTGAAAAGGCTATAAATACGAGTCAGAAACGGCTTTCTCTTCTTGGAAAACAACGTGGATTGAAGTGTATCAAATTGATTTTGTTTGAGGCAGCGACTCAGGGAGTTAGTTAGCTAATAATGCCGGTTGAAAAACTCCGTCTTCGTCCATGGCTGGAAAATGCTCTAAACTCGGACCATATCCCAGGCATTAAATGGGTTGATCAAAGAGAGAAAATCTTTCAGGTTTCGTGGAAACACGCTTCGAGACATGGCTGGCATGTGGATACAGATGCTTGCATCTTCAAAGAATGGGCCGTACACACAGGCAGATACAGGAAAGCCCTAGACAAGCCAGACCCCAGAAGATGGAAGGCTAACTTTAGATGTGCTTTGAATGCTTTACCAGACATCAAGGAGCTACAAGCAAGGGGTGTCACGAGGGGGAATAATGCGTATAAAGTGTACCAGATGTTGAGAAAGACTACAGATGGAAAAGAAAAAGAGAAGATCAAGAATGAGAAAGGTAAGATAACCCGTAAGATAACTGTGTTCATCAAGTACGCTTGGTCGAGTTGACGGGACCACTTCACAAGAACGGTTCCTCACATCATAATAATAACAAGCATATCATTAATATTCATAAGATGAAATACTTTTCGTTGCTTAATGATTTTCACGAGTTTTTATTGAAGATTTCGACTGTTATTTATGATGGTATACGTAAAGGGGACTTTAGCCTTGCTGGGACATTATGTACACCAAGTCAGCTAACTAGACTAAGCAACTTGAAGGCAAATCTAGAGCGTGGCGGTGTAGACTTATAACAACACCTTTCTTGTAATCAAACCATTCACTTATCCACAGGATCGGGTTGAATACTAAGCTAATCATCAAGGATCATGAGAAAGGCATTTGTTCTAAAAACACTTCGTGTTTCTGGATGGATCTCAAGGCCGGGTCTAGTCGGTGTCATCAGCACTTGCTGACGGTCTCTCCTGCTTGCCAATCTCGACAAATAAACAGTTTTACTTGATTGTCAGGTTTTAATAGTCTGCTATGAACTCAGCCCTTTAAACAATCATAGTTTATAGTTTGAAAAAAGGTGTTTGCGATTATTTCTATGAAGTTGTATGAGGTACCTATTGTGTAGATAGGTGCCGAAAAACTGTGTTGGTGTACATGTGGGGCTGTGAAGTCGACCCGGAAACTTAACAGAAGAGTGTTCATGCATAACAATTAGCCTTTACATCCAACCTATATGGCGTTAGAAGAATCTTTACTTTGCGTCCAAATCATTATTAATTCAAAAGCTTTGATAAATAAGAAATCAATAGAACGGTGTAAAGACAAATCAAATAAATTCGCGTTGACTGGGGCTAGTGCCGTGTTGGTTGAACATAGATTATATCTGTCGTACTAACAGACTGGCATCTTCGATTGAATCAACGAAGGAATGAGAAGGTTTATCGCGACCCAGTGAGCTTTCTATGCAATGCATTCCTATTCAAAACTTAGAGCTATGAACCCATTGTTTGTAGTGTTTGTGTACATTTGCAGTGGAGTGGAATACTTGAATCTGTTGAATAACATCTATAAAAAAAAGTCCGTTTTCATGTCCTAATTTCTTTATTGAGAAAACCTCGAATCACTAGATCTGGTAATACAAAGCTCATACAAGTTGGTATGGACTCACGGAAAACCCAGTGAATAGTTATTCTGCAAGCCTCATCTTCTGGTATTAACAATTGACGCTAAAGTCTTTCTTGCAAGCTTTAGGTCGCTCCGCTCATTGGCACCGAATATACGTAAAGCAGCACCCGCAGTGAAAATCCCTTGTATTCATACAAATGTATTTTTGTCACATGCAGCATGTCACATGCTCGTTCAAGTTTTTACCGGCTATTGAACTTGTTCTTTACCAGCATATAGTTGTGTGTGTGTCTTCATCTACCATGTCTACAGCGGCCAGGATAGACCCTTCAAAACCTGCTCCTATTTATCGAGCTAAAATCTTTGTTCCTAGTGATATATGTAGTACCAACCAAACGGTCTTAATCGGGCTGTGCCACACCTCATGCTGTGGCCTCGTACAAACTCCGCGTGTTTTACGCTAAATTCCTAGAAATCACATGCAAATTTTTCTGGAAGAGTTTTTCTAAATTATCTTCATATTTTCTTGTTTATTATAAGGTTTCATTTTAGTAATTCTATATAAAGATAGATGATTATCGAGTCTTCTGTATTTTATTCCTAGTACAAATACTTGGTAAACTTCCTGTATTTCTTGGAACTTGCTATTCGCATATTCATGTCATGTTCCAGCTCTGTTTACTAGTTCATACCATGGCGGCCTATTCACTGAATCTCGTACTGATTGAAATTTCGCATTTTGATTCTCCTGTGATATTTACTACAACCAAAAAAAACATTCCTCTTTTTTGTACTGATAGT